GTAAGAAACCTGGTAACCCGTTTGGGCAGAACATCTTCTAAAACCATGCAGTCGTTGACCTATATCCAACAGTTTATGCAAAACATGCAAGAAGAACTCTCTGTTCTCTGGCTCTATGAAATGATTTGAGTTCAGCCAGGTGATGCTGCTAGTTTTACCAGGTAGATCGATAAAGAACAAAGGTTGTGCAAGAGACCAAAGAACCATCAAATTGGTTCCTTCGTTCAAAACATCACCCGGGTGGTCCGAGTACACTCACTGCGCCCTACTGTCCGACCAGGGCTATCGGAGCCTTGAATCTCTTCCAGGAGAGGACAAATCAGGACAACTGCCTATCCCAACAATCCATATCAATCCATGCAACCGGTACCTATTATACCTGCCTATATATAGTGACCCCCAAATGGAGAGTGGCTCGGTTTCCAACACATTTTTTGTGGGGATATGGATCTACTATGTTGGTCTCTATACATTGACGTCAACCACCCCGAATGGTTTGACGTCGCCCCATGGAGTCTGAACATGGACGAGCGAGATCCGTTTTGATCCGCGTCAGGGGAGGCCATTCGGATCTGCTTTTTTCCCAACGAAGACACCGGTCCCACGGTCCAACATGCAGCCTTCGGTGCCTTCGGTCCCACGGTCTCCTCGCTGCCGGGCGTCTCTGGTCGAAGGAGGTGCCGAAGGTCAGGCAGCGGAGGGCGTCGGGAAAAGAGATCTCGTCGAGGGACATGAACTTGTCCCCAAGAGTCAAACACTCCAGTCTCTGGGGCAAAGTGATTTCAGCGAAACCTCCGAAAGTTGAGTTGGCGGCAGTTGTCTAATCTAAGAAGTGATTGACGCCTAAAACGGGATCGTATCAAAGGAGAAGTTGGATCAGATCTGTCTATACAACTATATAGGCAAAGAACTGAAAAACGCGTGCTAACTGCCAAGTGAGGAGCTCTCTTTGAATGCCTTTGAAAACTTCAGACTGTGCAAGCCCGCGGGCAACGTCACTGAGTGTAATGGTTGGTTGAATGAATCCCCAAAGGTGAGTTGTTGGAGGCTACTGGGCAAAGTCACTCCATCCATACTCTGGTTGAACTGGACACCAAAGGTCAAACTTCGCAAGGTACTTGGGAGAGACACTCGCTTCAGACTCTGGTTGAACTCAACTCCAAATGTCAAGCTCAAGAGGTTGCTGGGCAAAGTCACCTCATCCAAGCTTTGGTTGAAGAAGCGGTCAAAGGTGAGACTCTGAAGACTGTTGGGCAAGTTCACTCTGTCCAAACTCTGGTTGAAGTCAACCCCGAAAGTGAGACTCTTCAGGCTGGCAGGCAAAATCACTCCATCCAATCTTTGGTCAAAGGTCTCTTGGAAGGTCAAACGTTGTAAGCTGCGTGGCAGTTCCCGCAACTCCTTCAAGTCCTGAATTCCTCCTAACTCTGTGATGCCCTCCATGGCACCAATGTCATCCTCCACCTCGACGGTGGGGCTGGTGATGAATTGCCAGGCATCCTCCAAACTACTGGGCAAATAGACATAGGTCAAGCATGCCGAGATGGTCGATGGTTCCAGCACGCTGGAGCTGGACTTCTCGATGGCTGGACTGTTTGCGCTTGGAGCAGCGCAGGCGCGGGCTGAAGCGGGTTCCTTGTGAGACGTGAGGAGGTGTCTCAAAGATTCCTCGGAGAGGTGGACTTGAAACAAAAAAAAGGGCAAACCAAGGGTCATGAGATGTCATGAGTCATAGTACAAAACTTAAATCTAAATGATCTTATGGTCTCATCAACCCGGATAGATCCCTCATCAACCTTGGCCTGTGGGGGACGCCTTTCCGGGTGAAGACACGGGTGAACACGAAACTCAGACCGAACGGGTCGGGATTTTTATCCCCAAACGCCCTGCCCGACCCCGTTCGACTGTTAAGAGAGGTCAGTTGACCAAGCGTATAATAACGTCCCTAGTAAAACAATGCGTTGTTAAATGTTGTTAACACAATATTGGTTGTTTGGTAAAACATTGTAAAACAATGGTGGTTGGATTCCTATATATGGAAAACAATTGAGATCAAAGAATGCTCACGTCTGCCATAAGTTCCCCCCCCATCCCCCCCCAAAAAAATTGGCTCTGATGAATCCCTTCTAAACACACCTAAAGTAAATGAATTCTCGATGAATGATCATCCTCTCAAAGGATGCTGAATTTAATTAATGATCTTCGATTATGATTGTCCATTCTTTCACCTTCTTTTTCTCAATTCTGGAGAGCTCATATATTGAGTCAGTCTAAGTCAAAAGGAACGTGTCAAACTCGAAAAAGACCAAGGATCCCTCACTGGCTCATGAAGCGGCAAGATCTCCGATCCGCTCTGCAAGGCCACCCGCGCCCCCGCCTGACCGAATCAATCACGCGTCGTCTCGTCCGTCGCTCGACGGGAGAGGTCGGTCGCAGGACAACGGCCGAAACATGGCTTCATTACAGTGGATGTGCTGTGCCGAATCGATGCGCTGGCTCGGCATCTTGCTTGGCCAAAGCATCTTGCATTAGTGTGAACAACATCAAAGCATCGACTTTGGCCGGTAAAACCAATCCCCCCACAAGCTGTTGCCGGTGATCCAGTTTGAAAACCTCTTTTCCATCCTGTGACCTCTACAGAAGCTCTCAATTTCAAAACTCAGCCATCCGTCCTGCCCATGAGCCCACCCTATAGCCCACCCATCCACCACAATCCACCTACTCTCGCCAGAAATCGACTTCCCACGGATCGAGTCGTAACCCGTGTTCAAGTCCCAGCCGCCTTGGAAGGCAATCGATCGCTGATCATCTTTCGCAGCTCTCGACCCAAGACCACTGAGCTGTTGCCCACGCGGACAAGCACCTCTTCACCGTCCAAACCAACGGCCTCGGAGGTCCGGGGAGGTCTTTGGAGAGGTTTTCAGCTCGGGCCACACGGGAGCGGTGGAAACAGCTCGAGGTTTGGTGGATTGACCCCAAGAGAACGCAGCGCAGCAAGACAAACATGACAAACTTGAAGGCTGTTGCCATGTTGGGCCAATAGATTCTTCAGCTTTCAACTTACATGTGACCCTTAAAAGTTCTCCAAGGTACCCAAAACACACCGGGCATTCGAACGTGACAAGCACTGCGAGTGTTTAAATCGAACAACATACGTAGGTCTCGAAAGTGGTTGAGTCAGAGTTCAGAGTGCCAAAGCTATGTACGACGTCTGGTCCCTCTACAAATATGTGTTCTAAGATGAAGTATACTCACACAGGAGCAATAGCTCTCTCTCTCTCTCTCTGTTCAACACCAGTAGGTGTTAGAGCCGAGCACACTGCCAGTACACATTCTTGAGTGTAGTTCTTCAAGGTCTATGTTCCGTCCACCAATGGATTTGGTCTTTGGCCTTTCCGATTCACCAAGTCCGAAGATGTTAGGAGTGAAATCACCCATGGGACTGCCATATTGGCCCAACATTGGGTGGGTTTTTGGGGGTTTGGGATCCAAACCGCGACCCGGCCGCATTGAGCTCGACGTCCAGAAATCCACGTGTTTCATGTGCGATCTTATTCGTGATGGGGGTGGGCACACCAAAATAACGATTCACATCCATGAAACACACCATTCACCTCAAGCCAAAGGCATTCACCATAAAAACCATGTCATCTCCGCACCTTAATCTCCAAAACTTCCTCCTCGCAACGGCTCGGTGGATATGCCATGGCTGCACTGAGGCGCCAGATTCAAAGGGGGGCGCCTCAGTGGATGTTTAAAACAGGGGCGCCATCAGTTCGGCGTGCCGAAGATGCTGATCGATCCCCCTGCAGGCCATTCATCGTTCAGCTTCTCTCGGTCTTGTTTCGATCTGGCAAAATCGAACGCGTTCGTGTCTCATGGGCCGCAAAAAGGGATTGGATGCACTCTGCGGTGAACCCTTCCCCAGAAAAATATAAATCATGAATACCGAACGTTGAGCGGGGTGGAAAACCAATTCCCCCCAAGTTGGGTTGGTGATCCGCTTCTCCTCCTGGGTAGGGGATGGTGTATACTCTTTTTTCACGTTCCGACTCTCTTGGAAGCCAGCTCTGTGCGTGGCACTTGTTGGATGTCTCGAATTGGTGCACTGATGATTGATATAGGCTAAATACACTCGTTTCCGCCTGGAACCCATCTGTGATGATGCCGGCTAGCTCGCTCTGTTTCAAGAGTGGTCCCAGAGTGTTTGAAAGGGCTCAAAGCCCAAGTTGGGTGATACAAATCCCGCGTGTTTGGTGTGTATGCCCGCAGCCGACACCAAGAAGATGCATTGATGAGTGCAGGATTTGTCCAAATGTTATCAACTAGATGCATGTTCAATTGATTCCTAAGTCATGAGCCAAAATTTCATCGTCGCCAGCGGAGCACATCGAGTTTTCCGAGAGCTTCATGGCCTGATATTCTTTCCAACACCATGTTCACAAAAAAAGAATGACTTTTTCCGATCTAATTGGGCCAAATCAGAGCATAGCAATGTCCTTTCATCTCTGTTTATTCATGTCTTTATTGCTTTTCTGTCCAAGTCTTTTCATGTTGAACAAACCTCTGGGTTAAAAGCATCTCAATCTCTCTTGACCAGACTTCACCAACCCCAAGTCACTCGGGCCAACCGCCAGGGCCGCCCCCATTAGGTCGGATGGCGTCCCCAAAGAAGAGACACATCAGCTCATGACGTAAATAGTTCCTAGTAGCGTCCGATCGCTCCGTTCGTAGCGATGCCAGGAGCCCCGTTCGTAGCGTCCTTGTTCCTAGTAAAATAGCACATGTTGGTAGACAATCTGCAGAATATCTGGATGGTTGGACACTCATAATATGTTGTTTTGCTGCTGTGTGTACAGCAGGTGCTGACACCCCATCTCCAAGTACTCTCCAGAAATCCCTATATTATATGTCGTATAGTCCTCCTAAACAGGAGCCAGTCTCCCCAAAACAGGACACCCAACCCACCGGTCTCGGGACACCGGGCCCCGATCGCGTGCCTGACCATCGAACTCGGCCCACAGGATGGGGTTCATCCGATCGCCACGGAAGAAGATGCACACCTCGGGTCGTTCTGCTGCACGCAGCAGCGTGGAAAAGAAGGACGGCAGCAGCACGTTACGACAATACAGACGCAAGATCCTCCCAGCGAAGATCGAACAAACGAGTGCTTTTTGTGTCACAATCAGCATCCGTGAAACACCATGGCCCATCCATGTAATCTGTTCTCACCTTCTGCTCCAAACCCCTAATATACCCCTAAGAATGGCTTAAAATGGCGTCCCCCAATACCAAAAGACGCGGCTTGGCTTCGTTTTACACCGTTGCCCTTGTTCAAAACGAGGTGCCGCATTGGGCCAGACATCTGCGGCCATCAAGGCCTCCAAGGGGTACTTGACTTTCATCTGCTCAAAGCCTCGGTACTGTGTAGCAGGGGTGGCTGGTCGGAGAAGGACTGGACTCCCTGGACTCCAAGGCATGTAGACATGGATGGGTGGGTTCCAACATCTCCCAGTGGATCCCAGGCAAAGCACGAGTACGAAGGAACCAGGAATTCGTTGGGTCTATGGTTTTAAGTCTTTGGAACCACTGGTTACCAGCTATAGTGGTAACTGGATGCCCTGGGTCTATTTAGAGATCCGTGTTTTGCATGTAAATCTTCCGCCAGACACTCGAGAAGCTGTGTCTGGGAAGGTGATCGCAAAGTTGGGAGTGCACTTGACGGAAACCGGTCAAAAGCAGCATGAATAGACTCTTGATTCATAAACCGTCCCCAATTGGATGAACGGACTTGCGGACTGTCAGATCTGACGCGCCTCCACGCTTCCCCTTGCTATATTGTATAGCGGGTGAAGGTGGATGTGAGGGGTGAGACATACTACCTGATGACACGTGAAAAGACCGAGGTAAAAGAGACTGTACACTACGAAAGCAACTAGAGGCGGTAACGAACAAAGTGCCTGGATCGGTAGGTGTCTCAAAGGTCTTTGCGAGTGCAAAATGAATTGGCAGGCAAAATTTACCTAATTGGGGCCCGGATGTGCAACCAAGTCGAAACTTTTCTTCCTAAACAAGTAGTACCTGATATGTTGCGTGAACTTTTCCCGTTTGCTCATGGGAATCTCTGGCCAATTTGGCCACGGTGGCCGATCGTCGCGGGAAACTATTGGGAGTGGGAGAATTTCGTTATGAAACGGCGGGTTGTGCGGAATTGTCAAGACCAGATCTTTCAAATACTGGTATGTTTCTGCTGCGTTGGGGAGTGCAGGGTGTCTCGAAATTCCCGACTCATGATATCTGGAGAATCCCAGTCTAGTAAGGCTAGATGTTCCTTGCTGTTTGTAGGCCGGAACAATCTTGCATCTGGAAAATGTCTGTAGATGTTTGAGGATCAGGCGAAAAGTCTCCGCTAGGACCCGCACCGATTTGAGTTTCACAGGCTGAAGGCTTGTTTTTGGATCATCGTATTCTAGTTTCTTGAGAAGCTTTATTGGCTACTCGGATGGGTAACGAGCGTCCTGCCCATAGCATAAACGATACTGCCAATTCCGTCCAAGATATTCCCGGATCTTTAGGAACTGGTGCTGCATTTTCTGCGGGCCACTTTAGCAAGGAGCAAAATGTCTAAACAAGTCGCCAATTGGATTGAAACATCTCTTTAGTATTGGAGAGGCTAGTAGCTTGAGTTCTTTCCCCGCAAGGCGTCTTTTCGTGTGTCTGCCAGATTTAGGGGCCAACCCTGTCCATGCCATCCGAAACAATCGTCAGCAATAGTTGTGATCATTCACTCATACCGTACCCCTTCAGAATTTCCTTGGGAAATACAGGTGGATCCAACTTTCCACCAGGATTTGAGTGGGGAATTCCGATCCCTCAAAAAGGCTAAAAGGTTCTCCACTGACTGACTGGGTGGGTATTTGAAAAAACCACGCTCGATTCTTGGTTCGGGCTCGGACCCCCCCCTTCAAGCCATAGCAAGCCCTAGAACCCGCTGAAGAACTCTAGGACCATCCTGGTGTGAATGTCCGGTCTGGTGGAAGCCCACAAGCATTGGGCTGGGTAGCCGGGTAGTCGATTGGACACCCAGGATGGTCCGGTCCATGGACCCCTGAAACGAACCACCCCAACTGAATCATCCAATATGACCGTCCTGTCCGGCACCATGAGGCCATATGAGGCCATAGGGTCCAGAAAGGAGATCCTCTTTGGGGGTCTTAAGGGTGGAACAAACGTCGACCGAAGCGACCCGAAGCGACCCGGGTCTGGTCGGATTCGATTGGTCCGTTCTCAGGTGCTTCGGATCTCCCGGTGGGTGCTGGGCCTCGACTGCACGGTTGAGACGGAACAGCTTCGGAACAAGTTCCACCGCTTTTGGGATTCGGGAGGTGCATGATTGAACTTTGAACCCATCATTTTTCAGACCAGTGACGGTTGAACTCAAAGTGCACCTCGATGGTCACTGTCAAGTCATCCTGGCGCACAAGGCGCACGAGGTGGTGCACACGCGTTGTGCACCATACACGCGAAGTGCAAGAAAACGAAGGACACCAATCTCACAGGGAAAGTGTTTACTTCGGAAATGAAGAACTAAGGTTTTGGATTTTGGATGGTGCAACTTTCTTGTTTTAGGGGTAGTTCCATGTTCTCGGCGGCTCCTGTTTCAGACCCTTGTTCTCCGGGCTCCAAACCCATGTTTCCCGAGATCAAATACGAAGGTGCGTGCCGAAGCGCTACGCACGTCTTTCGGACGATGGCTGGAGCAGTTTGTGAGCAGCGGCGCTTCTTGGGCGCAAGAGGACAGCCGCTTGGTCAAACAGCGATGCAACCAGTCATGTTGAAGCTCAACTCTAGTGAGTGGGCACTGAATCAAGACACCCTAGAATGCAGCCAAGGCAAAAAACCTCCATGGGACTGTGACTACTTGGCCAAGCAGTTGGGGCAGTTGTTGTTGCAGGGGTCAATTTTATAGGTACACTCCGGCTCACTAACATGAGAGTACAACACAACTATCGGACAGCCATCTTTCTATGTTCCACTTCCATGTGTTCGTCAGTCAGTGCGAAATCGCATGCTGGAAAAGGCTTTGAGGAAGTTCGTCGTGTCACGGCCATTCGAACAAGTTCATCGTGTCACGGCTCGGTCTCGCGTCTTCGCTCTCCGCCGCTCCGCTCGGCCCAAACGGAGTGGATTCCGTTTGGATTCCATGGATTCCATGGTGCGGAGGTTAGCCCACCCCAAAAAGGGCATAAACGTCGATGACAACAGGTGAAAAGTACTCTGAAAAGTCCATTCGCCCTTTGGTTCCAACTTCTCTCACTTGAAGCAAACCCCAAATCAACAACTCTTTCTCTCCAAAACCCTACAAGTACAGCAGTAGCTCTAGCTCGTGCGCGCAGTCCATGACTGTCAATCTTTCAAAAGATCCTAAGCACGTCTTTCACTGTACTCAAAGTATCATCCCTGATTCATACCAGATCTGTTCAGAATCAAGATGCTAATTCTAACCAAGAAGCTCCTGTCAACACATGTGCCTTTTGCCAAACCTTCAATGCCAAGCAATACGCCCCATCCGCCAATTTATACTCGATGCGGCACAATCATGCGCCGCATGGCTGCGCCTGTTGCGCCGTAATCCCAAGGCACATGTCATGTGCTGAGCATACGAGGTTCTCCTCAGGCCAAACGGAGAACCATCCATGTTCGTCGGGCATGTTTTCTCAAGCTAGCTCGCTCCTTGGAAGCAGATTTGGACGCTAGTTCGTGCCCAAAAAAACACCTATAGAAACGTGTCCTTTCGCACCCGAGGTGAATCGAAAAACCATCACGTTCCGAGAACCCCACAGAGTCGCCTGTATCCTGACCCTCAACATCATCGAGGAAACTGAGGAGGGTTCTTCTGAAATTCTTCCCAAATTGAAATGAAAGAATCCACCAATTGAGTCGTGATTCCCCAGGGCCCCAGTGGATTCTCATGGACTTTTGCTTTTGTTGTCCGGACTTAATTCGTGCCATTGGTGGAAGTACAATAGGGGAAACCTTGAAACACCGGAAGTATATCTCATCAAAGACACTCAACGCCCTGGAAAGCACCCAAATGGACTGAGATTTATAACATTCTAAGACATTCTATAACTATAGTAGACTATTGTCTTGAACTATATATTTAATTTATAATAAACTGGAATTATAATAACCCCCTCTAGTTGGACTGTAAAACTCATATGGGGCGCAGGGGCTGGGGGTTGAACTATAATCATGTCTACAATTGTTCTACATTAAGATCTCCCTCAAAGAGTCTTTTTCCTCTCTCAGCCTGCGGGCGCCGTCATTTCAGGTCAAGTCACGTACGGCAAGGCGAAGACTCCGCCAGGCAGCGCCTCCTGCTTGAACTCTTCTGACCCCCAGGCCGGTGATTTCCAAACGTTTGACCTGGATTTTGGGTGGAGAACTTTCCCACTTGCACCGTTTGAAACCTGTTAGAAAACTTTCTAGAGGAGTGTTCGGTGCCCCTGCAAGCACTGGGGAAACTCTTGCTGGGCAGCCATGTGTCAAATAGGAGTTGGAACCTTTGTGTTGTCAACATGTGTCAACCTTAGTGACATGTTCATGTTTTCCATTGTTCCCATTTCCATGCACGTTTTTTCATGCCTTTATCTTTAGCGGCATCTTGCTTTGGTGACATGTTCCAAAAAGAATATCGAATCTAGACATTTGAAGGTCCATTGAAGTGCTGAATAGCTCGCGGTGCCCTATCATTAAGGAACCCCAATCCCATCCAATCCCCATCCCATCCGTCCGCCCAACGGCACCGATTTCCGTCCTCCACTTGCCCATCGGGCCGCAAGTCCCCAGGCTCTGTGGCCGGGCGACCAGGAGGGACTTCCTTCAGCTCCTCCTAGCCAAGCTGGCTCCGTGGACCCCAATGAGGTGCCAAAGCTTCGGTTCAGCGAAGCGGTCAAAAGAAAAGAAAGAAAGAAACTGTGGATTGGGCAGGATATATTCCCTCCCTAAGAGTCCTGAGGCACCAGCAACTGTGGATTGCGGGCAGGATATACGCCCCTAAGAGTCTGGCAGCAGTAAGTGGATAGGGGAGATGTTGATGGGTTTGGGGCAGGATAGGATATATACACTCCCTGAACTGATCATCGAAGTGGATGGCATGGCCCCGGATTGACCACGTTCGGAAGACCAGTCCAGCACGACCACTTCCATGTTTATTTCAGGGACCGCGGACCGAGTGTAGTTGATCCTTATCATACCGGTTGGGTAGCGGTCAAAACGTACGAAAAACCTGCAACCTGCGGTCTTTGGGAGAGAATGTCCATGAACTTACCCTGGTGAAACAGACTTTCTTGCGCACCGATTCAGAATCCTGAGGCCCCACTGAATAGATAGATAGACAAATAGACAGATTCGATTAGATTAGATAGAAATATGGAAATATGGAAAGATGGAAAGATGGAAATATGGATGGATGGATGGATGGATGGATGGATGGATGGATGGATGGATGGATACAGTAGATAGATAGATAGATAGATAGACTAGACTAGACTAGACTAGAGATTAGAGATTAGAGATTAGAGATTAGATTAGATAGAAAGATGGATAGATAGATAGATCTGGTAGATAAGTAGATAGATAAATAGATAGATGTAAATGTAGGTATGGGCATAGAGATAGAGATAGATCGAGATAGATAGATACATAGTAATAGATAGTTTTTCAGGTTCTCTCATTCTCCAGGCGTCTGGAACACGGAATGCGCATACGTGGGGCATATGCCTCGGCTTGTTGTAAGCTTGCACCGGAATGCGCATACGGCTATAACAAATGAGGCCTCATTCTCTCACTTCAGCTGCATCAGCGCCTCAGCTGCAGCAGCCAAAACAACTCAATCCCTTCACTAGGGAATCCAGAAGCCAGCCAGCCACAATTGCCATCTCACGGCATCTTCCGCGAATGCTTCTCTCCGCACTCTCATAGATCAGGACTATTGTGTTCTCTGTTCTCTAATTCCCTGTTTGACATCCACTCATGTGCAGTCGCACCTCTAACAAGGGACTTACCTGCTGGGGCATGAGCTGGATCTCCTCCTAATCGTCCCAGCACCAGGCACAAACAATTTGCAATGGCAATTGCTACTTGCGTGCCAACCACTCTTGGAACGTGAGCAAAAAGAGCTGTAGCCACATGTGTACCAAGATCGGGAACACCAATACATTGTCAGGAATGCTCACCTAGGACTGGATAACCTGCACTGCATCATTTGGTGCACTGAGAAGGTAGGATCTTAAATCTTAGGCCCGTCCCAGCAGCCAGCAGCGAATGTTCAGCGGTTGATAGATAGATACATAGATAGGTAAACAATAGATAGATAGATAGATAGATGGGTGGGTGGGTGGGTGGATGGATAGATAGATAGATACATAGACAGATAGATAGATAGACAGATAGATAGATAGATAGATCGATCGATAGATAGATAGACAAAGAGATAGATGGATGGGTGGGTGGATGGATAGATGGGTGGGTGGATAGGTGGGTGGACAGATTGATAGATCAATCTGTAGGGCCCGTATCGGCCATGCAAACGCACGCGGTGTCTTCCGCCGTGTGTCTTCCACGGTGGTCCTCTTTGGGGGCGGCCTGGAGGTGGACCGGGCGCTGCGGATGCGCCGGTCGGACGAGACGGTCATCATGTCGTCATGTCTTTGGGTCGTCATGTCGTCCACTTGAAGGGATACCAGGACCCTCCAGGGCTTGGGACAAGGCTTGGGACCCTAACAGGTACCTTGTCACCAGGGGACGGTCCAAAGGATTGGTGCGTTCCTCTCTTCGTGGGGTCAGGACCAAACATGAAAGAGAAAGGAACCCCAAATGATCCAAACACCCCTTCATCCCTACCTAGAGCATCCAACGTACCTTTCTTTTTTGACCCCCCTATTGTTTGCTACTTAAATGATCATTTCGTATCCTTAAAAGCCATTCGTATCTAAATGTCATGACCTCGAGCGTTTTCTTCCAATTCGAGCATTTTTTGATTCGCGGCCATTTTGGATTGAGAAAGCCGCTGAACGGGTGCAGTGGTGCGCCCCTCCCATTGTTTGTGTGATGATGTGGTAGTACAGGTGGTACTTCTTGAAGATGTCTTGCCTGCCGGTGAGGTACGGCATGGATGGCTCCTTTGGATTCCACTAGAGGAAGGGAGGTACGCTCTTTGCTCATGATCTTGTGTGTGTGCATATGTATGGGAACTTACTTGATTGAACCGGTGTCCAAATTGCAGGCACTTGGCTTGGTGTGGATTTAGCTTTGGCTACAAAGGTGCTGGGGTATGCTGGGGTACAATGTGACTTTCACTGTATGATGTGCGTGTGCCTCTTGAGTTACATCTTTTTGCAACCACATTGCTGCCAGCTTTCAATGCCACAGCATTTGGCTTTGTGAAGGGGGATCCAAAACGTCCCATATAGCTAGCTAGGTGTCAAGCATGTCTTCTCCTATCGCGGAGATGTGGGCCGGGTCTCAGGTTCTGATGAACCGAGCGGCTGTTGGCAGGCTATCACTGGTCAGTGATGCCAAGTCCATTTGTCGAGCCGACGTGGTGTCGAATGCTGATGTGATCATTCCCATCATGAAATTTATGGGAACCAGGGTCACGGTGGCCAATATCAAGGCTGAAGTGGACCTGTTCTTTGCTTTTGCTCGTCCACGAGGGAAACCCCCTCTATCGAGCAGTTCAGTTGAATAAGTACTTTTGTCCTTTCTATTTTTTGGCAAACAACTTCAAGCCTTACAAACATTCGAGAGTTTGGATTCTATATATGTAGAGCCTGCTGCTGAGCCAGGTGACCATGCCAAGTTCCAGGCCTGGATCATCCGTCGACTAATCTCCGAGTTCAACAGAGCTGCACGACGTGGACATTACCCTAGGGAACGTGGAATGCAAGACATCTACCGCTCTGCTGGCATGACATTGCCTTTCAACCCTCGTGACACAGCTATATATTTGAAGAATGTGTGCTTTGAAGTTCCATATGTGTGCGCATAGTTTTGTGCAAATATATGACCATCTGTCCTTCACCACCGATCCCTTCCTAGGTGAAAAGGGCTCGGATGATGGCTCTGATCTTGGGGACAGCGAAGCTGAAGCAAGTGAAAGTGAAGTTGACTCCGAAGTAGCTTTGCTAGAAAACATTTTGTCATAGTTCTTCCAACTTGGCATTGACTTAGATGGAAGGTCAAAAGGGTTCTAGGTTTATCTGGGAACTCAGGTAGAAGATGAAGTGATCGACCCGGACTCCCGTCCTAATGAAGGCCAGGCCCCTTTTCCCTCCACTCTGCCTTGCTTTCGAAGTGTGCAGAGTCTCCAGGTACTTCTTCTGTGGCCTGCACGCCGTCTCCGTCCAACCGAGTCTTGCCTGGGGGGAGGTTGATGAGCTTTTATTTGGGGAAACTGGACTTATGTTCCAAAATATTTTGTTTGCCACGATCCTTTTCAACCTGAAAGGAAAACTCCTGGAGGATTTGGGCAGCACAGAGAAGGTCTTTCAACACCGCATTCTGCCTGTGGGAGTTGGTTTTGGTTGCCAAGACTGCAGGCAAACGGCTGAGCAATTGATGGACCTGGTTTCAAAACCTTGTGAACCAGTCGTGGATGTTGACCCCAAGCTTGGAACACTATCGCAGGAGGAACGTACTGAATTAGAACGTGAGGCCAAGGTACTCCGTGAACAAGAGGAATTGTTGGAACAAATGATTCTGCTTGAGAGTCTTCGGGAACAAGAGGAAAAACTTCTCTTGGATGAAGCACAGTCTATGATCAACGCCACAATTCCTGCATCCAGTGATGCTGCACCGTTCCCTCGGGGCACCCCAGCTGCACGATGTACATGTGATCAAATCCATGCATGGTCTAGTGACTAGTGGTTGGAAATTAGCCAAACCAAATCTCTCAGGTACGAATCTGGATGTTGTTGACACCGTTCCGTACGACCTTGACTCCGTGGCCACTTCAAGAAGCAAGGACATACACCGGATGTGTTTCATATTATGAATTTTGCATCTATTAAATTTGTTGATTCAGGACTTTGAGCCAAGCCTTTCCCCGAGCTGCAACCAGATCAACCATGGGAAGGTTCTTGATGGACCGGCCTCGAAGGCCCTATCAGATGCTTTTTCACCCCAACCATCCCCAATCATGCGTGCTTCTTGCAGGACCCCAAAGAAGTGGATGAGATGATGCAGCATATTGAGGGGCTTTTTTGTAAGGAGACCCAGCCGGATGAATTGGTTGAGCCAAATGAGATTCCGATGATAGCCGTTGAAGAGGCCCCCAAAGATTCAGTTGAGAAAGCCGTTGAGGAGCCAAAAGAAAAGATTGAAGAGGCC